AAAAGAAAAAAAAATAAAGAAAAAGGTAAAAAATATCAAAAAATAACCTTAGAAAAGCTTATTTTAATGTATTTCTAAAGAAAGTAAAGAAAATAAAAAAAACAATTAGAAATCACCAAAATACTACCTTTGAAAGGTTTACCTTAATGAATTCCTAAAGAAAATAAAGAAAATAAAGAAAAAAGGTTAAAAATCATCCAAAATACTCTCTAAAAGACTTACCTTAGCTTTGAAAAGAAAATTTTCCTAAAAAAAACAAAGAAAAAAGATTAAAACCATCTATAAGTTATCTTTGAAAGGCTTAGCTTAATTTTGAAAAGAGAATTTTCCTAAAAAAAAAAAAGAAAAATAAAGAAAAAAGAGTTAAAAACCATCTAAAAGTTACTTCTGATTCACGTATCTTAATTTCAAAATAAGAATTTCCTAAAAAAACAAAAAAAAGAAAGGAAAAGGTTAAATTTTTGCCAAAAAATCGCCTTATTAGGAAAAAATGAATTTTTTCAAAATATTCTAAAAGTTTATTAGTTTTATATTGTAAACTAAACTAAAATTTTAATTAATCTGAAATTTAGATATTATTTATATAATCAAACTTTGATATAGCGAACCCTTAATATAGCGAATTTTTAAATCAAATATATTAAAATTACCTTTACTATAGTGAACTAGCCAATTAAATTCTTTAAAAAATTCATTATAAGCTTATAACGAAGTTGATATTCAGATCCTAGAATTCATTATATCAAAAGTTTACTGTACTATTTATCGTAAATATTCCAAACGGATGATTTAAATCATCTGATTACAAAATCAATAATATTTTGATTGTTCCTAAGAACAATATAGAAAATTATTCAAAAGAAATGATAATTTGATTGTTTCTTAAGAATAATATAAAAATCATTCAAAAGGAATGATAGTTTAATCATTCCTTAAGAACAATATAGAAAATCATTCTAAAGGAACGATAATTCAATTATTCCTTAAGAACAATATAAAAAATCATTTGAAAGAAATAATAGTTTGATAGTTCCTTAAGAACAATATAAAAAATCATTTTAAAGGAACGATAAAGTATTGTTCTGAAAGAACAATAATGAATCGTTTCAAAGAATGATAAAAAAATTGTTCTAAAAGAACAATAATATATCATTTTGAAAGCATGATAAAAAAAAATATTGTTCTGAAAGAACAATAACAAAAATTGTTCTTTTCAGAATGCTGATAAATCATTCCAAAATAATGATAAAAAAATATTTTTTCAGAATGATGATGTATTGTTCAAAGAACAATAAAAAATTGTTCTTTCAGAACGATGATGAATCATTCCTTTGGAAATGAATATATCATTTCTTTGAGGATGAATATATCTTTCTTTTAGGGATGATTTATATCATCTCTTTGTATTGTCTCTTTAAGAACAATTGTATCATTCCTTTTGGGACAATTTCTATCATCTCTTTAGAAACGAATGTATTATTTCTTTTGAGACGACTTCTATTATCTCTTTAGAGGAATGTTTTTATAATTTTCATAAAATTCAGTTCAACAGATTTCAACTAGTGAGATACAGTTGATTTATTATCAAATTTTGAGTTTAACTGAAATTTTGTCAAATATTATAACCAAAAATTCTTAATGCCAAAATAATGTGTGATGTAACAAATTACTATCAATTTTTTGTAACTTAAACCGAATTTTTGCCAAATCACATGACTGAATTAACTGAATGTTTATCGAAAGGTCTTATGTGTGGTGTAACAAATGACTATCAATTTTTGTTAATTATAATTTCGTCTAATATCATTATATAATATAATTTAGGAAATCTATATTTTATATTTAAATTTAAATTTTTTTTTTTATTATGAATTATTTTATTTAATGATATTTAGTACGGTAAGTTGTCGTTGGTCTGTATTAAAGGCAGACGCGATAAGTTTTAATTCAAATTATTGTTTTAAGACAGTTTGCATAGGATCTAAGTTGGTTGGTTTGACTATAATGAATAAAATAGGGAGTTAACAAAGGTCCATCGCGTTATCAGTCGTATATAAGTTAAATTAACTGCCAAATCATAAATAACGGTTATCCAAACATCTTTGAAAAAAACTACTCCTTATAATTTTTCGAATATAAGTTTTTGAAGAACCGACATTTCTATAATAACAATCTTCGTTTGTAGTTTCATATCGTCTCGCCAAGTTGCCAGTAATATTAATATTAGCTTACCATCTCACACTAAAGTTTCTATGGACAGTGCTCATTCTGTTCTACCAAAGACTTCAAGTTCCTTAGGTACAGATACGCGTCAGGTTCCTGTTCTTGAACCTAAACAGCGTTTTGTTATCAAAAAAAAAAAAATGGTTTTGAACAACTTTAAGTCGTATTTTGATAAAATTGAAATAGGCCCCTTTCACAAGGTATAAGATATATTTTGAGATTTGCTGCGGCACGAGATTTCTTTCTAATCTTAAAATTTTTAATTTCAAAAGTCATTTTCTGCGATTGTCGGACCAAATGGTTCTGAAAAATCTAATGTAATAGACGCGCTTTTATTTGTATCTGGATATCGTGCAAATAAAATGAGGCAAGGAAAATTATCAGAGCTTATTCATTCATCACGAGGATGTGACATTTTGAAGGAATCCTTGATATGGTAAATGATTAGTTTTAATTTCCCAAAATACAAAAAAAATTAATCACATAATGTTCAATAATATTATAGCATGATCCAGATGATTATGAGGTTGTACCTCAATCTCAATTGGTTATCT